GTACAGCAAACGGACAATGTGAACAGCATCCTACTCATGCACCTAGTACAGCAAACAGACAATGTGAACAGCACCCTACCCCCGCACCTAGTACAGCAAACAGACAATGTGAACAACACCCTACCCCTCCACCTAGTACAGCAAACAGACAATGTGAACAGCACCCTACGCGTGCACATAGAACAGCAAACTGACAATGTGAACAGCACCCTACCCCCACACTTAGTACAGCAATCAGACAATGTGAACAACATCCTACCCATGCACCTAGTACAGTAAACAAACAATGTGAACAGCATCCTACTCATGCACCTAGTACAGCAAACAGACAATGTGAACAGCACCCTACCCCTGCACCTAGTACAACAAACTGACAATGTGAACAGCACCTTACCCCTGCACCTAATACAGCAAACAGACAATGTGAACAGCAGCCTACCCATGCACCTAGTACAGCAAACGGACAATGTGAACAACATCCTAATCATGCACCTAGCACAGCAAATAGACAATGTGAACAGCACCCTACCCCTGCACCTAGTACAGCAAACTAACAATGTGAACAACACCCTACCCTAGGGGAATGCTCCCCGAGGTACCCCGAGATGAAACACATTACACACTCGTCAGGGACAGCATAAGGACAAGATTTGAAGTATCCTATGAAGAGGACACATCACTGGGGCATCCCGAAGTGAAGCGCCACTCGTACATTCGTCAAGGTTGGTGAAAGCTCAAGATGGGAAGTGCCTGATCTACCGGAAAGTTCACGGAAGTAACCCAAGGTAAATCGCAACCCAGACATTCATCAGGATCAGTGAAAACTCAAAATTTAAAAGCATCTAATCAAGGGGAAACATCACGGAAGTTTCACAAGGCGAATCGCAACAGGTACAGGCACCCAGAGCAGTGAAAACTTAGGATTGCAAGCATCTACCCAAGGGGACACATCACGGAAGTATCACTAAGTAAATCGCAACATGTACAAGCCCCTACATCAGTGAAAATTCAAGATGCGTAGC